TATTTTGCTTACAGTTCATAGAGGTTTCAGTCCATAATCAAACAGCTCCAAGGAAGGGGTTGCAAACAGACAGCATAGGGGAGAAACAACATGGCCATGGGCAAGGGAGCAAAGGCAACAATCTAACAGCATCTTTCTGCCTCTTTTATCTTATTCAGACAGCCAGGATTAGGGCAGTGCCAAACTAATCATTCACATGTAGTGGTTTAGAAATCACACGCCCTCAAACCTCTCCCCACACACATTCCAGATCCAACTACCTCTGAGGCTTTGGGGGTCAGGTAAATACAAGCCATAACAGACTGTTACCTAAAACATTCAAAGAACTCTGAAAACTGAACAATTAGACTATGAACAACCTGAACAAAAACTGGGCAAAATATCAGAACAAACACCTCACCAAAGAAGATATACAGATGGCAACTAAGCATATGACAGCATGGCTGACAGCAGAACACAGCAGGGAACTGCAGATTAAAACAGCAGTGGGATATAGCTGCCTACCTGTTAGAATGGTGAAAACTCAAACACTAGCAACATTACTGTGGCTAAGAATATGGATCATTCATTCATCGCCCAGATGAGTTCAAATGGAGCAGCCATTAAGGAAGACAAATGTACACTTTCTTGTAAAACTAACTGTACTTTTACCACATAACCCACCAATCATGCTCTTTGGTATTTTACCCAAATGAAGATGAAAACTTCATAATTTTTCCTAAATTGGAAGCAACGAAAATGTCCTTCACTGTATGAATGGATAAATTGAGGTGCATTCAGACAGAAAATATTGTTCAGCACAACAAAGAAACAGTGCCTCAGCATAAATGATCTGGATTCCATCCCTGGTCCAGAAAAAGTTGAAAAGGCCTGGTTGACCCATAAAGTCTGAGAAAACCAACATGGACCCACTGTTACAGTATCATATTACATTACCCTAAAAATTCTCTGTGCTTTCCCTATTCTTCCCTGCCTTCAAATCCTTGGCATCCATTGAACTTTTTATTTATTTTTTATCTTTTTATTTTTTGGTACTGGGGATTGAACTTGGGTCCTTGTGCTTGTGAGGCAGGTGGCAGAACCACTGAGCTAAATCTCTGGCCCTGAACTTTTTTTTTTCACAGTTTGCCTTTTCCAGAATGTCATGTAGTTGGAATCATGAATTTTGAAGCCCTTTTGGAATGGCTGTTGTTATTTAGGTACCAGGGATCCAACTCAGGACCTTGAGCTTGCAAGGCAGGTGGCGGCAACACTGAGCTAAATCCCGAGCCCACAAAATGACTTTTTTCACTTAGAAATATTTATTTAACATTTCTCCATGTCTCTTAATACCTTGATAGTTTACCATCTTCTTTTTAGAAGAACGTAAATCCTTTCTGGCACTGGTCCACTCTCCCCACTCCTCTCTAATCTCATTTCTCAGCTGATGGCCTGTGTCTCACAATTCTTGCACCTGCCTTCTCTTGAAAGAAGTTTGATGCTCTTGCCATGCACAGCAAGAAAGAGATTGTAATTAATAAACCAAACAAAGAGTGGGATACTTCTTCTGTTGGTGATTAAAAATATTGCCCTATTAATACTAATATGCTTTGCTTATGTTTTAGGTTTGACAGATAGCTCAGAAGAAAACTTTGCTCAAGTTGAAACAAGCCTGGACCTGAGAATGAGAATGAACCACATTTCTAATTATCCAGGTGCCAGCTGGCTTCAACAAACATGAAAATGGATTCTGTCAATTAGAGTCCGGAACAGACTTCTGTCAATTAGAATCCGGAACAGACTTTCTGGCAAGGAAATCAAGGAGACCTTTGGAGCAGAGGCCTTAAACCAGGGCTGAGGTCAGCCTTGCACTCTAGAGAGCTGTAGGACTCTGGCCTTGTGCTGGGGAAGCAGCTGCTGTCCTGAGCCATGGGGCTGAAGACCAGAGAAAGAAGATGCTCATCATTCACAGAGACTGAACCTGGGTCAGGCTAGCAAAGAGTGTGAGACACCAGGACCTCGGAGTTCGGTCCAGCTCTTCTCAGGGCTCTTGCCATTGTCATGAGAGATAAAGAACGAGAGGAGGATCAGAAAGGCCCCTCTCAGAGTCTCTTCTCAGTCAGGCACAATTCTTCTAAGAAAGATAAGGAGCCCTGTGAAGCACATATATTCAATATGTGTGGGTTATGTTAATGTAATAAAGCATTAAATAAATACATGAATAATTTATCATTTTAATTGCTGCTATAACATTTTCAGTACTTGCAGGTTGAGCATGAACACTAGATGTTTCAGTCTCAGGTCCTTCCCCGCGCAGACCCTGAGCACCGTAAAGCTCAGGACCCACCCTGACACCCAGGGACCATGCATGACTTCTGCAGCAGGCACAGTCGTAGATCTGAAACCATATCGTGTCTCCTCTGCCCACTGCCTGCCCCTTCTTGTGTGGGACCTGTCCAGTGTGTTTCTTCCTCTCACTGAGTGGAGACTCAGTGGCTTCTGCCACTCCTCTTCTGAAGGCCACTTCAACCTTACTACACAGATGTCTGCTGCATCCTGGCTTTTGTTCTCCTGCACACACATGGTCGGTGGTGCTATGGTTCTAACCCAACTTCAAGCCTCCTTAGGGAAGTTTCAAGTTAGGCCATCACTGGTGAGGATCAGAAAGAAAACAGAAAATTTTCAGAGTGGCTTACGGGGAAGATGTTGCTTTAGAAATGTGAGCCAGGAGAGCCAGGTAAGTACTTCCTATGACCTAGGGGCTCCTACTGTTAAGTGGACAGTGTCACATCTACTTCCCCAACATTCCTAAGATTAAGCTTCTGTGTTTTGTGTATCATGGGGTTGGTTTGCCACCTAATGGTGAGTTAAGGACATAAGAATTTACAGGATTTTCAGTTTGGGGTCCTCATAGCTTGACTGATTTTTTAACAAAGGCATGGGGGAGGGAAATTTCTCACTCCATGGCAGCCCAGTAGCAGAGAGAGAAGGAAAGCTCCATAGATAAGAGCACACCTTTCGAGGTCACACCTCCATTAGCCCAACTCTTCAGACCCCACCTTCGAACAGCACTTTCAGCTATGAACTCATCAATCCACTGATAAGTGAAGTGCCCATATTCTCCAGTGATCTTCCCAGAGATCCACCTCTGAAAACATGAGACTTGGGGGTATTTTATCTCCAACCATAACATATCATGAACTACCACATATGTTGATGATGTTGAACAGAAACTGCATGAGATTATTTCTAATGCTGGGAAAAGGAGAACTCTTTGAATAGCAAATAACTTAATTCAGACAGTGGAAAGCAAATTGAAGAACTTATGTGTTTTCTTGTATGCCAATAGAAAAACATCAGAAATAGATATGTTAAAAGGAAAGGGGGTAAAACTGAAGTGAGACTCAATGTTACAGAGAATTACCCTTTATTTTATAGAATATTTTAAAAGTTGGGTCTTGCAGGCAGTATAGTCTGGTAATATAACTAGTGATTCAGATCTGTTTGGTTAATTACAGACTTAATTTCATATATAGCTCCAAGTGTTCTTTTCTTTCTGGGTGACATTTATTAATTTCCTAAATTCATTAGATTTTCAACTTTAGGGTATATAAATATGTTCAAACATACAGTGAATATATAAATTTAGAAATTTAATACACTATAAAACAAATCCCCTTCAAAACTCAAAATACTACTCTTCACTTTGAACTCAAGTTCACCTTCCATTGTTGATATTTTTGTTTTTTTGATACACAGAAACTGAACTCAGGACCTTGTGTATGAGAGGTAAGTGGCAGAACCATTGAGCTAAATCCCCATCTCTCATGTTCCATTGTTATTGCCACTGCTTCAGAATGAGCAGTTCTGAAAGCTTTCTTTCATGAGCATCTGGCAAGGTAGGATAAATGCAGTGACAACTGCTGTCAAGCGCTCTCCAGTGATAGGTGGGCTCTTAAAATCATTACAGTGTGTTCTCAT